CAGCACTCACTAACGTCCCCAGCGAGTATCACTTGGGGTTTATCTCATGCTGCTCATCCCTCTGCTTCCCAAGACCTGCAGTTTGGCAAGAGGAGCCAAAATGCCCAACACTTTTGTCGCAGCAAGTGTCCCCTGTTAGCAGGTCGGCGCGGTGTCCACGCGCCAGGCAAGCAGCTGGCCCGGGCACACACGGCTTAGCAACACCTGAAATGACAGACAAACTACATAACTGATGCTAAGTGAGGCAAGTTATTCTTTTACCCTCCTGCTTGGTTGCTTGCTTTTCATTCATTTCTTTGGAAAAAAATCCCAAAAAAACAAACCTGATGCTGCAATGCATTACGTGCTTGTAAACCAGTAAGTGAAATAATAAAATCTATCATTTTGTATCCCATGTACAACTAAGAAAATCTATAGGCAGCTTGTAGGAACATGAATAATTATGTTCTGCGCAAAACGAAGTGCCGCTTACAAAAGCAACAACCCCAGATTTGCTTCTGGCACGCTCTGGGGAAACTCCACGCCCTGGCAATGACACGTATTGTTTAGGAACGTTTTCCTAAAGGTTCAGAGGCTGAAATATGGTTGTTGCATCTCCCAGTACTCCAAGGCAGAAGCCAGGGAGAGCCAGGGAGACGCAGGAGGCTGCTGCCTGTTGAGCCTCGATGAAATCCCCAAGCAAGACACCAGTGTCTCCCAAGCCGAGTGACCCCAGAGCTGCGGCCGCAGCGCCGCCTCGGTGCCATCAATCCCCCACAGCAGCAGGATCAGCGGGATCAGGGCACTTTCCGTGCCCCACGGCCTCGCGTTCCCAGCCCAGGCTCCTGGGCAGCCCCTCCAAGGCGGCCAAGGCAGTCGGCTGCCTTGGTTTAACCTGACCCATCCTCTCGCTAAGCTAAATTGGGTTCACAAGTAGAAATAGGACTCGAATTTTAAAGCAGCTCTTGCCACTCCTGACAGTGGTTCCTGGGGCTCTTTTGCAAGGGCTGCACCTCTGCGAGGGGTCGGCCACGGCGCCGTGCATCTGTCTTGCAAGGAGAAACGATGGATTTGCTATTCCACACCGAGCTTTTTTCTTTAAAGTCTTACAAGTTTTAAAGGTGGCAATTAGAGTCAGTCGAGGCACACGTACAGATCATTGCAAAAATACAACTCCATTTCCCCCATTTGAGAGACGAATTCTACAGCGCTATCAAACAGTGTCTGCCAAAACGTCACAAATTTTATCTCTTGGAAAATAAGCACATCTTTTAAGACAAAACCCACTGGCATCTGAAGAATAAAAAGCAGCAAGTTTCCATTTTACAAGCAAAATTGTACGCCAGACAACCTCTAAATGACAGATACTTAAACTGTAAGCTTGGGATACGTTATTCCAATGCAATGTGTACCAAAAAAATGGCAGCAGACGGCGCAGAAGCAGAAAGGTTTGTAAAGACAAACTCTGACATGTAAAAGGCACCTTCCTTGAAGACACCTTCATGCACCTGTAAACGCCGGGGCAGGGGAAAGGCGGAACCGAGTTCCCACCTCCGGAGCGGGGCCCCGCGGCTCCGCTGGCAGGAGATGCCAGCTGCTCATTCCGGAACAAACCGCGGGATTTGGGCAGGCAGGGCAACCTGCCCCCATCTGATAGCGAGGCAGAGAAATCCAGCTGTATCTCTGGAGTAAACAGGAGATAAAATGAAAGCAGGAAAATGCCAACCTATAGTAACACAGATGTTATCATTCAGGAGTGCCTGCTATTAATATAAAGGAAAGCATAAGAAATTGTTCCACTCCTATCCACTTATTTCCAGGGCCCTTTGCAAAAGAAATAGAAAAGCCAACCTGTGAGGTAGACTTCAATTTCTTACAAAATTACAAACTCTGAAGAGTGCCTTTGAACAGGGGGAGACTTATAGGCCATTTGGGCTTCAGGAGGGACACTTTCCTAAAACACTTGACTTCAAAAGGCTTTAAAAAGGCTATTTTGGCTTTGTGTTTCACTAAGCAAGGTCCTCCCAGAAGTCTATTGCTGGGCGCAAGCGAGAAGTTTCAGAAACAGAGTGAAAGAAAGCAGCAGCAAGGCAGAAAGAACTGCAAAATGGAATGAAAAATAATAAAGTAATGGAAGGGAATGAAAATTATCATTCACTGCCTTCCATTTGTCATTCTTTGACAATCAAACTGAAAAAAAAATGCATGAGAAATGAGAAAGGATGGAAGACTAATGGCTGAAGGACTCCAATGATGGGAGTAGGAGGCAAAATATTTCTCTGTATTTTTTAGGCTCAGCCTTTGCAGGTAAACATTAACTATAACATATGAAAATAAAACCATCTCTACACAGGTGAATTCTTCCCATCAGTAATGTTAAGGTCTAATGAAGAGAATTCAGATTGCTGAGAGACTCCTGAAATATTGTGCCAGCCCCAAACGCTTAGTCAAACCCTTCAACTTGTTTCTTCTGCATCTATTTTTACTTGACATGCCAATACACATGTTAGCCAGGCACGACTACCTTAAAAATGCATTTCCCAACAGGGTTTGACCTCCCCACATGAGATACCAAGGAGCGTTGACCTGAATTACCATTAAGGATTTGGCAAGAGCAAGTGACAGCACCCCAGGATCATCTAAGGGAGCCCTGAGATGAACTGAAGGTCTCAGTAATGGCCAGGTGTGCTACTCAGCCCCTGCTTTTCATACAGATAGAAGCAGCAAACTGTGGTCGGTCTCAAAGTCACCTTCGTGGATAGAAGTCGGCTGCGACACGAGCTTCCTGGAGGACAGATGGAGGCATTTACTAAATGGGGTAACAGTTAAAGAGCTGTTAATTCTTATACCTCCGGGCACGGTCTGCAGCTGTAGGCGAGATAGCTATTTCCCAGCGGTCCCCCACCACCTAATTAGAGACATGAAGTACAGGAGAGTGTTACACCTTTCCTCTCCATCTTAACAGACTTTTACTAAGAGCAGGGAGCAGCCAGTGCTGAGGATTTACTGACACCATGAGAGACGACACAGATTTTGTCCATCCTGTATCAGGATTTAGCACTGAGGCTCAGAAGCAACTGCCAGAAAGAGCAGCTAATCTGCCTTCAGATGCAAAACCTTGTTGGGACTAAAAGCTGAACGAAGACAAGGCCAAACCTAAAGGAAACAATGGTGAATTCTAACAGTTGAGGTAACTCTATGCCAAGAATCATCAGCTATCAGATTGCCCACCTGGGCAATGCTTGTATGGTACAGGCTGCTTATCACACACGGCTACAACTCACGTCTACAACTATGGTGGTTGTTACCACCCCTACGTTACCATCATACACATAATGACACCCTTCAAACCAACTCTCCCAAACCCCAAACTTTTCCACTGGGTTCCTCAAAGCTTTGAACTGAGCAGGACAACTACTTTATTCACTCGAGTGGTCACTAAACCAGTTTCTGCCTGAATTTTTAAGCTTCTGCTCATCCTTGCCATGGGTTTGCGGAGGTACCAGACACGTTTATCCGCAAATAGCTGCCTGCACAACTCTGCAGCCATTGCTGAAATGCTGATTTCCTGCTAATGCCGATGCTTGTTCTACAATTACAGCAGAACCACTTTCGAAGAAGCTGATCATTAAACTTCACTTGGGTTATAATGTATTTTCACAGGCTAGGCAGGGTCCATTGTGGTTAACTGAACATTTCATCTCGCTGGCAGACAATTAGCACAGCTCTGTGTGCGTTTTTCTAACGCAGCCATCACCTTCTTACACAAGCTCTCTGTGCCATCAACATACACCACCGTACTCACCGTTTGAGTGAATCCAAATTGAACCCCCAGAATAATGTTCAGGACAACATTACAACTGGCTAATTTCGAACCTGGTCTTGTCACCCATCTCCCGAGTACGGGGAGGACACGATAGTCCTTAACCTGGGGAAAGGCCACTGGACCAGGGCAGTGACAGCGTGGACTGAAATGTGCCACCCAGCTAAGAGATCCCAAGAACCAAAGGAGACTCTGACATGAGGAAGAACTGCTCTAATGTAGGCAAGTTTAATCTAATTGTGCCTGAGAGCAGAGATATCCAAACAGCCAACTTTTTTAATTTAGTAAACCTGAGATAGTTACAAAATAAATAAATAAACCACATATTCCAGGATTTCCCTCTCCACAAATTCTCTCTCTGCAAACGTGCAGGTAGCCCGAGCATCCACAGTCAGCTGCTATTTCATTAAGCCCCTGTTTAACTTAAAGCAAGATTCAAGCAAACCTTGTGCCCTTACAGCACAACAGCATTCACACCTCACCTGGAACCTGCTGCTAAGGTACCAAAGGGTTAATTAACACATATGCAGTGTGAGGTTTAGGCAATATTAAAAGGGACTCTGCGAGCAGACAAGAGTCACCGAGTGCAATGGAAATAAATTGGGCGTCTCCTCGCGCACTTCACTTTCCTCTCGCAGCTCTGCTCCGAGCTCTCCGTGCTGCTTGTTCGGTAATTTCACGCTACGCTGCTTAACAATGTAAGCATGGAGGCTCAATCTGAAACTGCACTTCCCAAATGTCACTTGTTTGTGAACACATGGCTGAGTCCAAAATTACTTTTAATATTAGAGCGGTGCCTGCTGGCACTGCTGTAGTTAAGGGTCTGTCGGAATTTACATGATAAACCTCATTTTCTGGGACGTATAACCATGACCATTTGCTGCAGATAAACCTGGTATACAAGGTCACAGCAGACAAACATGGTTTTTTTTAAATTTTTGAATGGAGATTTCTTAACTGCTTCGAAATCAATAACATGCAAAGCTGATCTGAGGCCCCTTGAAGTTTTAGATTTTTCTTGCTGTTCCTTTAACTCCAAAACGAACTCCAATGTACGACTTCAGCTGCCATCGGAGCTGAGCGCACGTCCACAGAGCCATGGCATTTTCAGCTTTCATCTAAAAGGCAAGTCTCCCACGCGCACACCTGTATTTAACCAGCTAGTGGTTTTAAATAACTCCCCATCAAAGTCACCTACTTGGGTTGCCATTTTTCCATAGTCAATCCAGCGCAAAGTGGCAAAGTTGGTGGACTCAGCACAGTTGAAGCCGTGATTGAAACCAGCGTGGTAACCGTAAGGAAATGTAATCATAAACTCCCCAGCTTCCTGGGTGATCTGCAAGACAAAAATAGCAAGAAATACCCTGCAGGTCAGTTGACAGAATTGTTTGAGAACAGAGATCTACTAAAAAACAGCAGCAACCAAATTCACTGAAAAGACTTTGTCAGTTCTTGGCTAAAGTTGGATCCATTTCTGGTAACTGCAGAAATATTGAAATAATTCTATTACAGAAAATTTGAGTACAGTACACACTTCCCCACCCTTACGTATTAAGTCTCATTCCCATTTGTTCACATGTAAATCAAACCACCTAAAATTGCAGCCTGCTATTCCTCTACTTAAGCAGAATTAAAACAGCAGTAAGCACTATGGACATTATGCACATCAGGAGGTTTAAGAAGTTTAAAAACTCTGCAGCTGATAGCTGTAATCACAAGCTAATCAATTCCTGCCTCTTCTAGAAAAGCCTCATTTTAAAACTCATGAAGAGGAGACTCTTGCTGGGGAAAAAGGAATCCATAAAAGTAGCCTGCAGGGATACGGGATACAGGACTGCTCTTCCTGCAATCCACCAGCTCTCCTGCTTGCAAAAGCACACGTCAGCAGGTACCTTTTACAGGTAGAGCGAAGTCAAATTTTGCCTCTTTCCTGGGCTTTTTTAACCCGGAACTGCTGACAGAACTTTCTAACAAGCAGCCACACAACAAGCAACTCCCCTTGGGATCTTGGCATCCGCAGTAACTCTCGGCAGTGCTGGGCAGAAGCCTATGGAGGATACAGAGAACATACAACTCTTCTCACAAGAATGAGTCCACAGAACAACCCAGCTCACGCCCTGGGCTGGAGCAGCCCAGAAGCTCCCCAGGACTAGTAACATGAGCAGGATAAAGAACAAAAGCTCCATCCTAAGGCCAGGAGCAGTTTGGGATGAGGGGTGAGAGGCCGGGTGCTCTCCCGGCCAGCCCTCCCATAAATCACAGCCGAGTGGGAGATTGCTAACTTGGGAAGACGGAAAGATTATGTTTCTGTCAGGAAATCTGCATCCTGGTGTCTTCATTTCAAGCCCACAGTGTATGTCCTCCATGTCACTGCTGTCAACATTATCCCTACAATAAATTAGAAAGCACTCAAGATGATGGATAGGCCATGCAGAAAAGTAATAACTATTGAAGGAAAGCCAGCGCAAACTGCCACTCATGGAGAAAGCCCTAAATTTACTGACTTCTGCAAGCTCTTGCAGAATAAATGGAGAAATCAATAGGAGATTACAGAAATACACATTTTTAATTATTAAAAAGCCCTAGTATTGATCTGCCTTTCTTTTTTCCAGAAGTAAATACCATTACAGAGATTTATAAATGCATGCCTATTCACTTCATTGAAGTCTGCCAGGAATATAGATGAAGGGGGCCTATCTCTGTTTCTAAAGGAAATGACACATGTTCCCTGTCCCCGAACAACAGCCATCCTCCTTCAGAGCCACTGTTTCAGGGTGGGAGTTATTCAGATTCAGGCTGCTCGGACTAAAGAGATCTCCTATCTCCTCCCTTTACATTCAAAAGGTCCTTCCAAAGAGCGCCAAGGAAGAGGGAGGGCTGTTAGGGCAGGCCTGATTTCCCCCCATTCCATTCCAAAAGTCAGAATTATGATTATATTTCGCCAATCAGGATGTTAATAATCTCCCCTTCCTTAAGAAATGAAGTTTAGTTGTGAAAACAATATTGCCTTCTTAAAAATGAACATTGGTCTCTTCTGTTTTTGAAGTAAAATTCAGAGACAACATCCAATCCTTTGGACATGCAGCCAAAAGTCAGAATTATGATTATATTTCACCAATCAGGATGTTAATAATCTCCCTTTGCTTAAAAAATGAAGTTTAGTTGTGAAAACAATATTGCCTTCTTAAAAATGAACATTGGTCTCTTCTGTTTTTGAAGTAAAATTCAGAGACAACATCCAATCCTTTGGACATGCAGCCCTCGTGTCAGGGGTTTCTATCTCTAGCTAGCACGGGAGAGGTGCTAGGCAGGAATGTGCAAATAGCCCTCGTGTCACAAATCTGAAGATTCCTAGTGGGAAGCCTAGCTAAGCGGAAAAGTCTCTTTACCAGGCAAGAAATTAAAAGCACCCTAATTTAAGTCATTTTGTGTGTTTGCCCTATTATTATATAGCCTAGTAAAGCTGACTTGGGATAAATCTGGAGGGAAAGCTTTCTTCCACTGCCATTTTACAAACTCTTCTGCTATTCTGCCTTGGTTATTGATCAGAAATCACTTAGTATGTAATTACTAGTCAATGTGACTTCCCGCAGATACATGGAAAAGCAAACGCGTAACAATACATCATGTTGCAGGAAAATATGCCCATGTACAAAATTCAGCCATTTGGAGTCTTGCACAAATACTTCTTGAAGATTTCCCTTCTGTTCTGAGCTCAGAGACGGGAGCACAGATATGCAGCTTGAATGAAGAGCCGAAGGTTCATTCCCGCTTCCCACCCTCCTCCGTGCTGCAGGAAGATCACGTCACTGGGGGAGAGCAGAGCAAACCTCACTCACAACTCCTGCTACACACAAAAAAGACCCTTTTTATCAGTATTTTCAACCTCATCTTTAGATAAGCAGGCATCCCTTCTTAGGCTCTGTCCATGAAATTATTATGTCTCCTATGGCTTCTGGCGGCACAACTTCATAGGGAAAACACCACCAGAAGTGAGAGGGTGTTCAACTCTTTCCGTTACCATTTAAGCCCTACTCAGGTCAGTAAATAAAGTCAGATTTTAAGATCACTCTGGCTTCAGATTTTGTTCACACCACCAGAAGTGAGAGGGTGTTCAATTCTTTCCTTTACCATTTAAGCCCAGATTTTGTTCTTTTCTGAATGTGGTTGGGATAAGAGAGGACATTTTAACTGTCTATGCAAAGTCATTCCCAAGAAGGATGGTTGTGCATCAACTCTCACGATTCCAAACCTCCCATCTACTCCCATATTTGTAAGTGAATATCCTTACAAAAAGAAAAAGGCAAAACCCACAATTAGATATTTTCCTTATTATTTTCAGTCAGGTGCAGCGGATATCGATGTTTTCCTATTTGGGAATTAGGTTCTGCAGATAGATTACAAGAAAAAAGATTTGTTGCTCTCTACGAACAATTTAATATCGACCGTCATGTGCAAAGTAGGGCAAGTCTAGCCGCTGATGTTGAAGCATAAGCACCACATTGCTGCACGCCCTGACAGCGAGCTCATCTGACAAGCCAGATGATCACACTTCAAATTTCATTCATCACAGCCTTCCACTAGGAAAAACGAACCAGTCTCTGGAGGAGTGAATTGAATGAATTCCTAGTTTTTATGCTATAACAGAGCCAAGATCTTTTATTTCCATCTCAAAGACTCACTATGCTCATCAAATAGGTGCTATATTTTTGTCTCAGGTGCACTAACTCTAGCAAAGCTGTGCTTTATAAAAAGAAATAGAAAAAGACACCTTGATGGTGTGAGAGATGGCTGCAATACCTAGAGCTGATGATGCAAAGAGGATGGGAGAGGACCAAATCCCTTCGAATCTAGCATTCTCTGATGCTCTTCAGTGGACTTAAAGGGTTCTGACATCTCAAGCTCAATCCCCCTTCTCCTGTTCCTCACCCTTCCAGGGACACTTTCCAACATTGCCCTTCACTGTTCTGTAGGACGCGGGCACAGTCTGACTCTGCACAGACACTAAATCCTTGATAAGCACGTTTGGCTGAGGAGATTTATTTCTTGCTAGAAAACTTTTAAGAATAAGCATATTAAAGCCATCATACCAAATAAATACAACCCTGCGTTTCAAGTAAAAGGACTTAAGGGATTCATGGATTCTTATTGACAAAGCTTAGGCTAGAAAGAACGCTCATCTGCCCCTCACTTGGGGTTCACATTGCAGCTGGCACAAAAAGTCAGTCTGTATTCCAAGAATCATCAATGAGTTAACACTCATAATGATACTGATAAATCCTTGCATCCCTGTTGCAGTTCACCCTTCTCTAACTGGAGACACTCCCTGACTGACCAACTAGCAATGCTTTAGTTAGTTCTAGGGAACAGTTTTAAAAGGACTTTGAGAAAAGTGGCTTAGCCAAACCACAAATCCTCATTTATAAGCAGCCACTGGGTTTAAACTGATAAAATACAGTCTGAAATCAGCAATCTGCTCCCCAGCTGCTTGCACCGAATTGTTTCAGAACGGTAGGTGTGTTTTGTGCACCTCAACAACTTGCCTGGGTCTCCAAAGTGTCTTTGTACCTACCCGGTCAAAAGGAATGCCGTATTTCTTCAAGATTGAGGGCGAAATGAGGGTCATCTTGTGACGGAGGAAAGCATCGCATCCCTGAGAGCTTCCTGGGAAAAATCCTGTAGAGACATTAAAAAGAGGTGCATCGTTAAAGGAATATTACATCCCCACCAGTGCTAATCAAAGACAAGCTAACTAAGTGAAAGCCTGCCTAAATACTTCATACACATCAAAGCAGTAGATCTCCAACTGGAGACATCAGAAATGAGGACAGCCCCCTTTGTTTGAAGTACTACACAAAAGTCGTGACAGGAACCTACACACGGAGGCATGTAATCCAAATTCCAGTCAAGTTGAGATTTAGCATCTAAATCTTCTTGTGCATCTGGGAATAAGCAACTTGGCCAAAATCTCAGTAAAACCCTGGCAAAGCAGGAAGCAGAACCTGGCGCTCTCGTGTTTTGGCTAGCAACCTTACCCCTTTCTTCTGACACATAATCTACTCCAAACACTGCTGGGCCCTGTTTATACCTTCTCTGATGGGTATCTACACTATTCCTGGGAAAAGTAAAGCAATCCATAAGAGTCCAGACCATTCTGCCCTACATATCACCCTAAAAAAGGAAGGAAAAAGCATGCAAATGTTAATAACCGGTCTGAAGAAAGAAATTAAACAAACCAAATGCACTACAAGGTAATACAGCCAGAGAGACTCTCGGCCATGGCCGCAGCAGCAGACACTGTGATCCCACACGGGCAGCTACTCTCAGCACTACGAAGCACGAGTTCAAACGCAGCTACAGGAATCAAACTGGGTCATTACAACAAGTCACAATAATTAATACCATGAAATTGGGCTAAATAAATTTAAAAACCCTTTGATGTGGGCACTTCCCTCCCAAAGCCAGACACATTTTAATACACTCAGATCTTCTACTGCAAGTTTTGCACTTCAGAACAAAAGTGACCATGTCGGGCTGGTTTCTGTGCAACCCTGCAGAGGGGATTCTGATGGGGAAGAGCAGAAATTCCGGGTACCTTTCAGCAGTACAGCAGAGTCTGCTGCTCTTTGCAAACGAACAGGAATTCTACCACCACCACTCACTTGCTCTAGGGTTCATCACACTCCTCACAATCGAGGGTTTGAGGCAATTTGACTGGACAAACCATCAGTTCAGGTGTCTCATTAAGTTTCCCCCTAAAACAAGACGACTCAGACCTGTCCCATCTCTGGTCTCCTGCCCTTTATCTTCTCACACTTACTGACATTGCAGCGCTGTGTTCAAGACCACGCATTCCACTCAAGTAGGTGATTCAATCAATGAATTATGGGTTGCAGGGACGGAGAAAAACACCACCATTTGGGAAAAAAATAACCCAAGCTCTGAAAACAAAACTAATTGATGTGACATAATGGAAGGGGTATCACAAAGTGCAGTGGGTTATTGGACTCCTGATTTTCTTATTTTTTTTTTACTAAAAGCTTTTCAATTAAAATTATGACTGCCTGCTACCCAGTCTGTCGTCCCTCTCTGCAGTCCCTCTTTTTAATGCACAGTTTAAGTGGCTCTCATTAAAGCTACTAATAAAGAAGCACATTTTAAGTGATTAGCACCAATAACATGGCAACACATTAACATTCTCTCCATGGGCTCCACAACTCTCCCAGTGAGCCCATTTACAGCTCGGCTATTCATTTTCCATATTAATTGCACACTCATTTCTCCATCCTGAATTTCTTCATAGTATAGACCACTGACTCATATGGGGAAAAATGCGTAAAAAAGTGATGCTGCTTCATGGCCATTTCAAAACACCTCCCAGGTCCAAATTCCATAAGCTACAAAGCAAAACGAAAAACCAGGCTCAAAATACAGACCATACCACTGGGGATTTGCTCTGGTTTCCACACTGCCAACCATGAATAAGCTTCCAAAGTTGACTGTCAGTAGGAATAAGTGACAAACAGCAAAAATCAATGCAATATTGGTCACCAAGAAATTTTAATACTGTGAATTGGTCTGCCTCCTGCAAGAATGCATCAGAGCAGAGTCTTGGAGATTCTCCTGCCTGCCTCTGTTGCATTACCTGCAGTGACAGATGCAAACCTTAAAGCACGCCTCGCTGAAGATGAAACATGGAGATGTTGAGTTCATTATTGTGGGGCAGGAGCGTTTTTTAGCTGGGCAGCACTTAGAGCATTTGCGAGGGCATGGAAATAGCAACAACAATAACCTAACGCAGCCAACAAATGTAAAGATTTGTATTTTTGCATGCAGCTTTCAACGTCACCACCTGGAAATCAGCACGAGTGCCCAAGGGCCGAACTCGGCTCCCTGCTCTCCTGGAGGGCGGGTGGCAGCTCCTGGGGTGCCCTGGCCAGGGAGCCAGGCAAGAAAACAGCCCAGGGGACCCAGCGGCTGAGGCTGGCACTTGGCAAGGGCAAAAATCCACAAGTGCACAGAGGTGCCAGCCCGCCTGGCACGGCCGGGAAGGCGCTGCCAGGTGAGGGGGCTCCTTCCAGATGCCTCATGTCTCACCAAGGATGGACCCGCGTCTCCGTGCACGGAGCGCTCCGCAGGAGGAAGCCGCGCTCACCTTTCGCCAGCCGCTCCAACCTCTTGCCGTGCTCCGGGGGTATGGCATACCTAGGGGAAAGGCGAGACATCAGCAAAACAGAAGCATATTCTGACCTAAAAAAAAAGACTTTTTTAAAATGTCATTGGTGAGTATGACATTTATTGCAACTGATAACGTTTGTTCAGTACGAATATTGAGGAATGCAATTGTCATTTGCTCCGGGGGTATGGCATACCTAGGGGAAAGGAGAGACATCAGCAAAATAGAAGCATATTCCCACCTAAAAAAAGACTTATTTTAAATGTCATTGGTGAGTTTGGGATTTACTACAACTGATAACATTTGTTCAGTATGAATATTGAGGAATGCAATTGTCATTATTTTCAGAAGTCGTCAAAAGTCATCAGCACTCATCACAGCAAGCTGGAAGCAGGATATTGTAGTGTGCAACTTGGCCAAGAGCAGAAACAGGTAACTAGTATTGCTTTGCCGAGGGTAGGATCTCTCAAAATACACTGACTTTTAGAGGATTTGCAGCCAGTCCCCTTGCTCAACTTCTCAATTTATAAGTCAAAAGTTTATCTACAACATAAGGAAAAATACAGAGAATTCGCTTCACATATTTGTTTTTTTGTCTGAAATCAAAGTAAATACACCTCTTGTGCTCAGGCAGGTTAGAAAGGATCACAAAGGAAAAAAATCAACATAGGATGCCTCAAGATTTAGATGTTAAGCCGATTTAAACTGATGGCTTAAAAAAATCTAAAGGAAAACACTATGTAGCACCTAATCTTATAAAATAATAAAAATATAGTAATGTGCTCCCAACATCCTCTGACTAAAGTTTGACAGTGCCTTAAATTGCATAATTATCAAAAAAATTCAATTTCATTTGTCTTGGACAAAGCCAGTAGCTTTCATTTTACAAAGGCCATTCATCACTTACATAAATGTGATAAAACTAATCCCGATCCAAAGCTCCTTTGTGGGATTAATGTCCCTTAAAACAGGGAAATGAGACATTCCATTCCTTCTGGGAAAAATGCTGAAGGATTGGGAAAGAACTAATTTATGGCTACAAGGCTGCTGATGATTAATGTAATATCCCCAGTCTACAATGCAACCTTCACTTAATTAGTGCCTGTAATTGGGAGTTGTAAAGATAAGATTAATTGAATCTTGAGGATGTTAAAAGTTTAATACATTGGAACATGGTTATTGTGTTATCTGAAACTGCAGACTGCAAGAAGCCAAGCTGAGTTTTAAAGAATGGTCCGTGGAGAGGCAAAGAAAAAGGACTTGCTTGGATAGGTACCAGCAAGACAGGAAGAATTTCCAGCTTAGAAAACACAAACTATATGTAATAATAAACAAGAGAACCACAGAACGGACTCACAAAGTGACAGCTGGCTCCAATTTCAAAAATCAACTTTTCTGTTTGGACAGAAAAGATGTTTGGACCATCTTTGAGAAAGTAAAGCCTACATATCCTTACAGATTTATTTTCGGGAATTCACAAAATTAATTCCAGAAGAGCATTAAAAGCAGGTGAGATTCTGCTTTAAGTTACACTCACAAATCTGACTGATTTCCATAGACATGGGCAATAAAGAGAGAATTTGGGCGGCTATTTAAGCTCAGGAGAAACAGAAGGCTTCGACAAGGGTGGCACAGCCTGAGCTAGACAGCTCGATATGATCAGACATAAAATGATTGATTACAAGGTAGAATAACAAAGGAGGTGACATGGAAAGATAAGAAATTGCTGTGATCCAAGGGGTACTGTAATTGAGCACATAAACATCCATAAAGAGCTGGCTCTTGTGTACAGCCATACGGTATCACCCCCTGCTTTCAGCATGAAGAACGGCCAGGCCCCTATTAGGGCCAAAATCCTTGATGGAAGGAGCCGACGGGACCGGCATTCCACACGATCTGCTACCATCCCTCTTGTGCCACGCGCGAGGCTGGGGCTCGGCTCAGCAGCGAGGTATCTTTAGCTCCAGAGACAGCTGCCAAAATTAGAAAAAAAAAAAAATCCAAAACCCCTTACCAGAGTGCATGATGTCAAACTACTTCCCTTATCTGTTCCACTCAGATCACAGCATAAGTGTCCTCCACCATGGAAAATGGGGAAAAAAGCATTTTTGGGGGGGAAAAGTGGGTTTTAATTACCAATTGCAGCATCACAGACAGAAGTGCTTTGCCCCAAGGCTACAAACACCCTGGATGAGCTTTCCCATGGAGCGGGAGCTGGCTCTTGGTGACGAGGAGCAAGTTTAACTGGATGGTCCCCTTTTCACCCTTGGTACAAAAGAAAGAGCTTTCCTATTTGCCATAAAGGATGTCATTAATAGTGTAATTTTCTTGGTGTTTTGTTTATTCCCCTGGAATGGCTTGATGGATGCGGATAATTATCACACTATAAAAGCTAGCAAATGTGCTATTTTCTATCGCTCTAAATCATCAAACAAATAAAGTGTGAAACAGCATTTTTGAATACAATTTTCCCCTCTAATGGCTTAGAATTATTATCAGGAACAATGAAAATAAATAAGCAAATGTCTTGTGAGTTCCGAATTAAATGAGTAGGAAGGAGCAGAGGGGCCATCCGGGGAGGCCAGGGCCGGTTCTGGAGCCACCCGGGACGACACAGCAGGGAAGCGGCTGCTGCAGCAGCACCGCTCCCGGCACCAGGTGGGTCCGCGGGGACCGTCCGGTCTCGCTCAGGTCCTGTCCTCAAAGCTGCCTCTGTGCTGGAGGGTGGAGAGGGAAGACAACTTAATTTTGCCTTATTCCTGGCCACTGAAAGCTACTAAAAACGTCATGCAGCGCAAAGCACGGCTGCCGCCGGCCACCCCAGCTGGCTCACCTCTCTCCAGCGGTTTCGCTGCCTTTAGGAGCAACTTCTTGCACCTGGGGTGATGCATCAGAGCACCACCCATCCCTTCTCCTCCTCCAACCCGCCCTCCAAGCTTCCCAGACCTTTCCTTGCTACCAATGTGACGCACACAGGCAGTTTTCCAGAGGAAAACGGGTCGGCACACCCACACGTGGGCACCTCCGTTCCCCCCTGGAGCAACCCAGGGGAATTAAGCAGAGCAGATCACCGGGTCTCACGCGCCCCTCCGAGGTCCCACGGGAAGGCTCTGGAAATGTCACCGCGATCTGAGTCACGTTAGAAGGCAGGAGAAGTTAATTTCACAGTGTCTGCACAAGGTCTGGCCAAACAGGGCCCACGCAGTTTAACACGCTATAATTACGGAAATAAGGACGGGAAGCTAAAAGCGAACAGCACATTTAAAATGCCTAAGACCATGTGTCAAGCTGGGGGTTAGTTATCTGTCTTCGAAGCAGATTTAGTTGTGCCAAGAATATTGACCCGCTGAAGACTCAAATGCCAACCTGCCCTCGGTGGTGACAGGCAGAATAAAATGCTGTTATTTTCATCTTCAGAAGACAAAGTGTGTCCATAAACGCATAATCTGAACCCTGACCTTCAACATCTTTAGCCTCCGTGACAGCAGCAATGCCTCCCAAGAAAACTCTTTAGTCTATCAAGAATATATATCACCCAGCAGAAGCCATTAAGAACCACCAGCATGTACCACATAGCCCCTCATCAGCAAAAAAATCAAAGTTCAGACCCTGCTTCTGGGGCCAACTTCTTCTACATGGTAAAACAGTTATCATACAGCGGTGTCAAAGGAAAACTCAAAGCAACCACGGGAGTTTTTCTCTTTTAAGCTAGCTTTGCAGCCTGCCTGAAAAAAAGCAGACAGTTCAAGGAAATTAATGGATGGCTCCTTCATCAATAGCACGGTGACTGTCAGCTCCACACCCCTCGCGGACAGCTTTTTCTCACTTCTATTTTCCTCCATGTGTAACAGCCCTTCATCCTTCCCTCCCTGTTTGTTAAAAGACAGAAATCAACCCCCTCTCCTCTCCCCATCACTATCAGATGTTACCCAACAGTGAATGTGCTTTAAGCACCCAGTTTCTCCTCTTGAGATCATCATTTGGAAAGGAAAACCGCCGGCCTCCCTCATCCGTCCGCTCTGCTGCGACTCCTCTGCATCAAGAGCACAAACGCTCGCGCTGGAGATAAGATCCATCACGGAGAGCTCCTCGTTCCTGGCAAAGGACCTTTATCGAGTGTCTGCAGTTTTATCTTTAATGGATCATTTTACAGGACAATAGATGAAGGAATTCAGCATCTTTAACCAGCAGCATCAATGATTTCAAATAATGACATTTTTATTGAAAAACACGTATGCAGAAAGATAAACACAGAGGCTTGGGTGTATCTGCTCAAAAAGGGATAATAAGGAGTAAAAAGGTAATGACAGAACAAGATTACAGCCACACGCGCCCCAAATCAACCTGCCTTTAAAGCTCAAAGAGAATGAGCTGTAGACAGCTGCTCAAATAAGATCCCTTGGGAACGAGAACGGGGGGAAATGAGGACAAACCCTGCTCGGGAAGGGCCAGCGGGAACATTCCCAGCCCTCACCCTGCACCTGCGCCCCGCGGAGCCGGCTCATGCGCCGGGATCGCTTGGCTCCACGCGCAGCTGGCTGGGAAGCCGCAGCATCGCCGAGCGCCAACGGGAAGAAACAAAAAGCAACTACGGTCCTAGCAGAGCAGAGCGCAAGATGAGAAGCGTTTTCCTTCCCCTAAGGGACTGCAACTTGTGAAAGTGCAAACTCTCAATTTCCTTGTCCAGTAGCATTAGGCAGAATATCTGACCCACTGGCGTTAGGTTTGACTCTATCCTTCCCACTGCCAACCCAGAAGGATTTCACGCCAGCTTGTGCCAAGCACCTACTGCCGATAGCATCTTCTAGTGCTAAAGTTGTCAGGATCTAGAAATAACATCTAAAGGAGACATTAATTTCTAGATATGACATTAGACAGAATCTTTTCCAAAGTCTATTCTCAGGGCAATGAGAATTTCAAGGGAGGCACCTGATCTAATAACTACAAGATCTGCCCAGCAAGACCATGTGATTGGCTACTTTACACTGTTTCACTGATCTAAAAAGGCACTGAATAGGTAAAGAAGGAT